AAAAAAAAAAAAAAGACAAATTGAAAGTTGGAGAATTGAATTGATTTAACAAGTCAAGAAATTTTATGACTGGGTGTGGTGGCTCACGCCTATAATCCCAGCACTCTGGGAGGCTGAGGCAGGCGGATCATTTGAGCCCAGGAGTTCAAGACCAGCCTGGGCAACATAGCAAAACCCCATCTCTACCCAAAAAAAGTATATGAAAATTAGCTAGGCATTGTGGTGCACACCATACTCGGGAGGCTGAGGTGGGAGGATCACTTGAGCCCAGGAGATGGAGGTTGCAGTGAGCCAAGATTGCACACTGCACTGCAGCCTGGGCAGCAGGGGGAGACCCTGTCTCAAGGAAAAAAAAAAAAATTTACATTAAATTAAAAGTTAAATATGACATAAAAAATGTGGTAGTCTAAGAAAAACAGAAACCATTCATCAATTTTCCAAGCGTTTTAGGGGTTTATTCACTTTCCTACCTCCAAAAGTAAATACATAAACCCTGGAAGTAAATAATATTTTTTTCCGGGGTGTTGGTGGGATTCTCATTATTTTGAACTTTACATACAAGTGATACTTTATATAATTTTTGTATTGTTACCATTACTTTTTGTTGTTGTTGTTGTTGAGACAGAGTCTTACTCTGTTGCTCAGGCTGGAGTGCAGTGGTGCAATCTCGGCTCACTGCAGTCTGTACCTCCCAGGTTCAAGCAATTCTCATGCCCCAGCCTTCCAAGTAGTTGGGTTTACAGGCACATGCCACCATGCCCAGCTAATTTTTATATTTTTAGTAGAAACAGGGTTTCAGCATGTTGGCCTGGCTGGTCTTGAACTCCTGACCTCAAGTAATCCACCCATCTCAGCCTCCCAGAATTCTAGGATTATAGGCGTGAGCTACTGCACCTGGCCTGGTTACCATTACTTTTTGTCCCCAAATATTTATTTTAACCCACAATTAAAGAATGTCATTTTTCTCTACAGCCTTAAAATATCCAGCTGTTTTATGTCTTTGCCTATAATAAGGTTTTGCTGGTGAGGGTAGTTTGCATATCTCTAAAGCTGATTGGTACTACTTTGTGTTTTTATTTTTTTGTTTATTTATATTTTTTGGAGGGGGAGATGGAGTCTCACTCTGTCACCAGGCTGGAGTGCAGTGGCGCGATCTTGGCTCACTGCAACCTCTGCCTCCTGTGTTCAAGCAGTTCTCCTGCCCCAACCTCCCGAGTAGCTGGAACTACAGGCACGTGCTACCATGCCCAACTAATTTTTGTATTTTTAGTACAGATGGGGTTTCACCGTGTTGGCCAACATGGTCTTGCTCTCTTGACCTCGTGATCCACCCGCCTCGGCCTCCCAAAGTGCTGGGATTACAGGCGTGAGCCGCCATGCCCAGCCTAGAATTCTTAAGAGCTGTTACATTTGAGAAGCCAAAACCAATGGCTTCACCAGCCAATAAGCAAAGTCTAAATGGAGAGCAGGCCAGGCAAGGTGGTTCATACCTGTAATCCCAGCACTTTGGAAGGCTGAGGTGGGTGGATCACTTGAGGTCAGGGGTTCGAGACAACATGGCGAAACCTCGTCTCTACAAAAAAACACAAAAATTAGTGAGGCATGGTGGCGTGCACTTGTAGTTCCAGCTAGGCAGGAGGCTGAGGCAGGAGGGTAACTTGAGCCTGGGAGGTCGAGGTTGCAGTGAGCCTAGATTGTGTGCTGCACTCCAGCCTGGGTGACAGAGTGAGACTCTGTCTCAAAATAAAATAAAATACCAATAAATAAATGGAGAACAGTACAGGGCATTGAAAAATGAAGTTCTAGGCCGGGCACGGTGGCTCAAGCCTGTAATCCCAGCACTTTGGGAGGCCGAGACGGGTGGATCACGAGGTCAGGAGATTGACACCATCCTGGCTAACACGGTGAAACCCCCTCTCTACTAAAAAATACAAAAAACTAGCCGGGCGAGGTGGTGGGCGCCTGTAGTCCCAGCTACTTGGGAGGCTGAGGCAGGAGAATGGCGTAAACCTTGAGCCTGGGAGGTCGAGGTTGCAGTGAGCCTAGATTGTGTGCTGCACTCCAGCCTGGGTGACAGAGCGAGACTCCATCTCAAAAAAAAAAAAAAAAAAAAGAGAAATGAAGTTCTTATACAGAGGATGACTTTTGGGGAGTCATAACTGCCTTCATTTGGTATCACAATCGATCTGTATTAAGAATATATAAAAAATGTTTCAGGCCAGACTCAGTGGCTCATTTCTGTAATCCCATCCCTTTGGAAAGCTAAGACAGGAAGATTGCTTGAGTCCAGGAATTTAAAACCAGCCAGGGCTACATAGTAAAACCCTGTCTATACAAACTCTAAAAAATTGGCTGGGCGTGGTGGCTCACGTAATCCCAGCACTTTGGGAGGCCAAGGCAGGCAGATCACCTGAGGTCAGGAATTTGAGACCAGCCTGACCAACATGGAGAAACCCTGTCTCTACTAAAAATACAAAAATTAGCCCGGTGTGGTAGTGGGCGCCTGTAATCCCAGCTAATCAGGAGGCTGAGGCAGGAGAATCGCTTGAACCTGGGAGGCGGAGGTTGTGGTGAGCTGAGATCGCGCCATTGCATTGCAGCCTGGGCAACAAGAGTGAAACTCCATCAAATAAATAAATAAATAAGCCAGGCATGGTGGCACACATCTATGGTCCTGGCTACTCAGGAGGCTGAGGCAGGAGAATCGCTTGAACCTGGGAGGCGGAGGTTGTGGTGAGCTGAGATCGCGCCATTGCATTGCAGCCTGGGCAACAAGAGTGAAACTCCATCAAATAAATAAATAAATAAGCCAGGCATGGTGGCACACATCTATGGTCCTGGCTACTCAGGAGGCTGAGGCAGGAGAATCGCTTGAACCTGGGAGGCGGAGGTTGTGGTGAGCTGAGATCGCGCCATTGCATTGCAGCCTGGGCAACAAGAGTGAAACTCCATCAAATAAATAAATAAATAAGCCAGGCATGGTGGCACACATCTATGGTCCTGGCTACTCAGGAGGCTGAGGCAGGAGAATCGCTTGAACCTGGGAGGCGGAGGTTGTGGTGAGCTGAGATCGCGCCATTGCATTGCAGCCTGGGCAACAAGAGTGAAACTCCATCAAATAAATAAATAAATAAGCCAGGCATGGTGGCACACATCTATGGTCCTGGCTACTCAGGAGGCTGAGGCAGGAGAATCGCTTGAACCTGGGAGGCGGAGGTTGTGGTGAGCTGAGATCGCGCCATTGCATTGCAGCCTGGGCAACAAGAGTGAAACTCCATCAAATAAATAAATAAATAAGCCAGGCATGGTGGCACACATCTATGGTCCTGGCTACTCAGGAGGCTGAGGCAGGAGAATCGCTTGAACCTGGGAGGCGGAGGTTGTGGTGAGCTGAGATCGCGCCATTGCATTGCAGCCTGGGCAACAAGAGTGAAACTCCATCAAATAAATAAATAAATAAGCCAGGCATGGTGGCACACATCTATGGTCCTGGCTACTCAGGAGGCTGAGGCAGGAGAATCGCTTGAACCTGGGAGGCGGAGGTTGTGGTGAGCTGAGATCGCGCCATTGCATTGCAGCCTGGGCAACAAGAGTGAAACTCCATCAAATAAATAAATAAATAAGCCAGGCATGGTGGCACACATCTATGGTCCTGGCTACTCAGGAGGCTGAGGCAGGAGAATCGCTTGAACCTGGGAGGCGGAGGTTGTGGTGAGCTGAGATCGCGCCATTGCATTGCAGCCTGGGCAACAAGAGTGAAACTCCATCAAATAAATAAATAAATAAGCCAGGCATGGTGGCACACATCTATGGTCCTGGCTACTCAGGAGGCTGAGGCAGGAGAATCGCTTGAACCTGGGAGGCGGAGGTTGTGGTGAGCTGAGATCGCGCCATTGCATTGCAGCCTGGGCAACAAGAGTGAAACTCCATCAAATAAATAAATAAATAAGCCAGGCATGGTGGCACACATCTATGGTCCTGGCTACTCAGGAGGCTGAGGCAGGAGAATCGCTTGAACCTGGGAGGCGGAGGTTGTGGTGAGCTGAGATCGCGCCATTGCATTGCAGCCTGGGCAACAAGAGTGAAACTCCATCAAATAAATAAATAAATAAGCCAGGCATGGTGGCACACATCTATGGTCCTGGCTACTCAGGAGGCTGAGGCAGGAGAATCGCTTGAACCTGGGAGGCGGAGGTTGTGGTGAGCTGAGATCGCGCCATTGCATTGCAGCCTGGGCAACAAGAGTGAAACTCCATCAAATAAATAAATAAATAAGCCAGGCATGGTGGCACACATCTATGGTCCTGGCTACTCAGGAGGCTGAGGCAGGAGAATCGCTTGAACCTGGGAGGCGGAGGTTGTGGTGAGCTGAGATCGCGCCATTGCATTGCAGCCTGGGCAACAAGAGTGAAACTCCATCAAATAAATAAATAAATAAGCCAGGCATGGTGGCACACATCTATGGTCCTGGCTACTCAGGAGGCTGAGGCAGGAGAATCGCTTGAACCTGGGAGGCGGAGGTTGTGGTGAGCTGAGATCGCGCCATTGCATTGCAGCCTGGGCAACAAGAGTGAAACTCCATCAAATAAATAAATAAATAAGCCAGGCATGGTGGCACACATCTATGGTCCTGGCTACTCAGGAGGCTGAGGCAGGAGAATCGCTTGAACCTGGGAGGCGGAGGTTGTGGTGAGCTGAGATCGCGCCATTGCATTGCAGCCTGGGCAACAAGAGTGAAACTCCATCAAATAAATAAATAAATAAGCCAGGCATGGTGGCACACATCTATGGTCCTGGCTACTCAGGAGGCTGAGGCAGGAGAATCGCTTGAACCTGGGAGGCGGAGGTTGTGGTGAGCTGAGATCGCGCCATTGCATTGCAGCCTGGGCAACAAGAGTGAAACTCCATCAAATAAATAAATAAATAAGCCAGGCATGGTGGCACACATCTATGGTCCTGGCTACTCAGGAGGCTGAGGCAGGAGAATCGCTTGAACCTGGGAGGCGGAGGTTGTGGTGAGCTGAGATCGCGCCATTGCATTGCAGCCTGGGCAACAAGAGTGAAACTCCATCAAATAAATAAATAAATAAGCCAGGCATGGTGGCACACATCTATGGTCCTGGCTACTCAGGAGGCTGAGGCAGGAGAATCGCTTGAACCTGGGAGGCGGAGGTTGTGGTGAGCTGAGATCGCGCCATTGCATTGCAGCCTGGGCAACAAGAGTGAAACTCCATCAAATAAATAAATAAATAAGCCAGGCATGGTGGCACACATCTATGGTCCTGGCTACTCAGGAGGCTGAGGCAGGAGGATCATTGAGCCCAAGAATTGGAGGCTGCAGTGAGCTATGATCATGCCACTGCACTCCAGCCAAGGTGACAGAGTGAGACGGTGTCAAGAAAAGAAAAAAAAAAAAAAACAGATGTTTCAATATTTCATGAAGTAACTAGATTTCTAGTTCATACACAGTTATCAGCATTATCTTAGAAATGTGCACTAATTATATGAATGTCTGATCTCTAGGTTTTAAGGGCAAGTCTAAACCCAATCTTCTAAAACAAGAAACCAGCAGCCTGGCCTGTTGTTTGAGGATCCTGTTTCGAATGTATGTTGATGAGAACCGCAGGGATTCCTGGGGAGAAATACAGCAGAGACTTTTAACGTAAGAAAAATAGTTTCTGATTAGATTTCTATCTGCCATATACAAAATGTGTCACAGCAATACCGTGGATTGAAAAGAGTGGGAGAAAAATATATGCTGACACTCTGACAAATTATTTTCCTTTTTATTTTTTCTATTTGGTGACTCTCCCACTTCACTTTTAATGCCCTGAAGAGGGCAGAGCCTTATCTGTTTCACTGATAAGTCCTTGCTTGAGCCCAGGAGTTGAAGGGTGCTGGCAGCTACGCATAGAAACATGGGCAGTGAAAACTACTTCTAGCAGTGAGCAGGCTAGATGGAAGTCCTGACTCTGACTGGAGCCTTGTGGTATTAGGCAGGTTACTATCCCTCTTGGGACCAGGTCCTCTTTAGAACTGTTGTCAGCAATAACATCCCATCATTCCGTCTTTCCAAGAAGAATGTAATTTAAATCATATAACTAGGATGTGCCTACAAAATTATCCAGAAATGCACCAATTGGGGGAGAGTGGAATACTGATGAGGAAGCCCCAGCCAGAAAAGTAGGTCTTTGCCAACCAGCTTCCTGGGCATCAGCAGGATTCTGATGCCTGAGCTTTCTTTTTCTCCTGTAACATTTAAAAACAGTAACACACAGTGCTGGCAAATGTGTGGTGAGAATGCACTCTCCTGCATAGCTCGTTGGAGTGTACAATGGCATGATCTTTCTGGAAAGTAGGTGGGATACCAGGAGCCCTAAAGTGTTCATTCTCTGTGACTCAGTCATTCCACTGTTACAGAATCTGCTTCAGAAAATATTTTAGAAATAGGAACCAGGAATAACACACAGAATATTCACTGAAGATTTATCAGGAGAAAAAATTTTAAGCAGCTCCACTAAGTTATGATATGTCCTAAATTACGATATTATGAAATATCCCCATTAAAAGTGAATTTTTTTTTTTTGAGATGGAGTCTCGCTCTGTTGCCCAGGCTGGAGTGCAGTGGCACAGTCTTGGCTTACTGCAACCTCCGCCTCCTGGTTTCAAGCAATTCTCCTGCCCCAGCCTCCTGAGTAGCTGGAACTACAGGCATGCGCCACCACACCCAGCTAATTTTTATATTTTTAGTAGAAACGGGGTTTCACCATGTTGGCCAGGATGGTCTCACTCTCTTGACCTCGTGATCCACCCACCTCGGCCTCCCAAAGTGCTGGGATTACAGGCATGAACCACCGTGCCCGGCCTAAAAGTGAATTTTTTTTTTTTTTTTTTTTTT